TTTATTCTATGTATCCTTTCAGTATTAAAAAATTGAGCTTTAAAATATTTGCCAATCTTTTGATTTATTTGTATAAAGCATAAAATACAGTGGACAGTAGATGATTTCTTCTATCCAAACCCTTTCGTTGTGGTGGCTCTGAAACAAATCTTTCTTTTTCTAAATTTTAATTATTTAAAAAATTTTCAAATTAAAATGAAACACTTTCAAGCAGCACCGACAATTCTTCACTTTTAAATTTGTCACAATTGTTTCTGTAGGATATGAAATTTGAAAATGCTACTGTTTTTCTTATTTTAAATATTTTAAATTGTTACTTTTTAAGAATTAAAAAGCCAGAAATGGCCACAGACCACAAAGAACACTAATTGCACAATTGATCTAAGTGAGACGGGAAGAATCTTCTTGAAAAAAACAAGGAAAACCACTCCACCATATTCACGGTCAACTTCACAAGAAAACTTGTGTTCAAAACCCATGCGACTGATTGCCAAGTCACAACATGCATTTTATGGTAATGTAATTAAACTTCTCTATGTAACAATCATTTTCTTTTCTCTCGATACCACTGAAATCAACCAAAATATTTCTTCATGGCAAATTTCCATTTCCTATTGAACAAATTGAAAATCCTGTGATGCCACTGAAATAATCATAGATCTTCCAGTTAAAAATCATTTACATATCTAATGTTAGAATCATTATTTCCATCTGGTGTCACTGAAACTTTGGTAGGAGAACTAAGAATAATGAATGCATTAAACTCAGCGTAATAGTCATCTATTTGTTGTTTCAACACTATTGTGTGATTAAACCACTGCACCTTCAATTGCGCCATACTGTAACGCACTTTTAAAATAGTATTTTAAAAGAGCGTCACAATGTTGGTCGCCAAGCACAAACACTCGGATTTTTTTACATTTCACTGTACACGTTCTATTTTTTTTCTTTTATGCTTTTCATGTATTTACCACCAAACACTGTCCTTTCAAAAGAAACGATTCTGTCCCTTTTCACTGGGAGAAAAGCACAGAGAGCCGTTAGGAATTCTGTCCAATCACTTTCTTCAGTTCACTTTTTAGAACACGTCCGCACATGTCACTTATGTAAGTATTATATGTATATATCACACAGATAATTCTACATAATCATAAAATGCAGTTTTACAATTAATTAGACTTAATTACTGTATCAAATATACTCTAAGCAGATCCTTCATATTCTACTTTTACTATGGTTAAAATTTTTACTTCAATATAAAATATTTAAAAAAGGACAAAGATAATGTTTAGAAAGAAAAGATTCTTCAGAATTTGAATTGAATATGAAAGAACTGTATATACACTCATGAGAGTGTACAATTATAGTACAATTTAATCCAAGATACTTATAAGTTATCTGTGATCAATAGGACAACTTAATTAAATATTTTGTCAAAACGTAACGAATACTGAATTGCTTTTTTCTAGTTTCTTGTTTTTGA